CCCGGCGGCCAGGGCCGCGCCCGCACAGCGGTGCCCTGCCCGTGCTGCCTGCGACGTTTCCTCTCTCTCCGCCAACTCTCCCGTCCCCGCCTTCTCCTGCCTCGGCATCAGCCCCCTCCCTCCACGCTCACCTAGCTGCGCCCGCGCCCTTATCCCCAACCTGTGCGTTTGCCTTCGGGGGCAGGTAGCAGCTGGGAGCGCCGGGGTGAGGCACGGCCGGCTCGGTGGAAGAGGTTTCCACGTCCTCGCCAGCAGCTTGGGGGTGTCAGGATGCGGAAAGGATGTAATCCTGCACCCTCTGGGCCCGAGGGCACCGCTCTGGCAGCGTTCCCAGGGCTCTCCCCTGGCCGGCGGTGCTGTCCCTCTGGCAATGCCTGTGCTCTGCTTTTCCCGAGCTCCACAGATGCCTCTCGCTAAAGGGCAAACAGCGCTGCTCTGTGCCATGCGGCCTGCCCCGGTTCCCTTCTTGTTCTGACAGGACAGGCAGAGTGCAAGCTAACGGCAATACCGGGCGATAGTTAAACAGAGACGGTTTCTGTGCTACGTTTACAAAAATCGGGTCATTCCTGGCAGGTACCGTGTCTGCAAGAAAGCCCTACAGCTGAAAGTGTCAGGTCAGACAATGGTGGGTCCCTATACAAAGAAATTCCACCCAGGACTAAAAGTCGTTTGGTTGCAGAATGGGTATGTTGTGTGTGACAGAAGTTTGGGCAATGATTGTGCAGGTTTAGACCCTGCTGGTGAGCCATATGGGTACTGATAGAAGGGCTGATTTTTTTTTTCCCCCCCTTATTTACAAAAAAATCTAGAAAATGCACACCAAAAAAAGCCTGTGTTAAATGGCTGTTGTTAAAGGTCTGAAGTAGTCAGGTTACAAAACACCACAGTTGCTAATCCATACCCTGGCTCAGTTGCCTGTTGCATGGGCTTTATGATGCAGTCCATAATTACAGGATTACATTTTCTTCCCTCAAGAGATTGTCAGTGCTTGAGAATGAGGGATCTTGGAGGATAAGACTGATCTAGGTAAGGAAGGAGGCAGGTTAATTTGCTGCAGAAGCTGGGACACTCGCTGAATGGCACAGGCGGTGGCTTGAAAAAGTAGGCTGGTCTCTTGGAATGGCAATGGGTAATGGCTCTGCATTTCCGAGCTGACCTATATGCTGGGTAGATCACTTAAACTCAGATTTTTGTAGGTGATTGCCAGCTATTTCAGTGTACCTGCCTTGAGCCGCTGAAGGTCTGGCAGGAATATGTGCTAAATGCTCCTAAACTAAAGCTGAAATAAATGAGAGCTCTATTTTGAGCATGTGCTGCAGGACAACACATGCTCTTAAAAACATCACTCTAGGAGCGCTTCAGTGCGACACCTAAACTTAATGGATGTTTTTGACATTAATCTTTGGCTAATACTTCTCTTTCATCTCATAGAGACTGTGGAAATGAATTAACATTTACAAAACATCGATATCTTATAGGGGAAACGGGCATAGGACAGTCTACAGGTGAATGAGTAATGCCACTGTCAGAGCGGGATCTGTGTATCCTGAAGTAACACCTCAGGCAACAGGCTGAACAAGGAATGTGAAACTAAACACTGAGTACCTGGTCAGGATCCATGCTGAGCACTGAGCCAGACAGTGGTCCCCTGGTATGTAACTCATGTGCAAAACATGGGTAAATTAAGGGCACATCTGCAGATTCATGGTGTGCATTCTACCAGTGTATGAAATATGTCTCCAGTAAAAGGAGTGGTGGATCAGCCAATGAATTGGTATGTTTAATGTCCTCTGGTTGCTTCATATCTTTCTAACGATACCAGGAAAACAGAGACTTGCTGCCCTTTGCCTGTCCTGTTGCTCTATGCTGTAGCTGTTGCTTGCTTTGCAAAATGACATTGCTTTGGTTATTACACCCGAGGTCGCTGCTGCAAGCTTTTGACTGGGGAGATCCTAGTTTTCCCAAATGAGGCAACGGTGGGCAGCTTTCTCCCCGTGGGTCTGTTTTAATTTATTTTTCCACAGCTGGAAGCAACCACTGCTGTGGAGGGTATCAGTGTTGTTGCTGTCAGGCCGCCAGCAGATGGGCAGTTTTGCTGAGTGTCCTAGAGATGGAGGGGTCAAAGGATCCAGTTGGTCAGTGACAGGACCTTTTGGGGGTTTTGGGGGACAGGTTTGTTCTTTGCCATCCTTCCTAACGCTCAGCTGTGGGCACAGCCTGTGAACTCTGTGTAGGGAACTCATGACTTCGGAGGTGCCTGACCTGTACATATCGGGATGGATTCGCAAACCGGTCCTCTAGAATTAGAAGTGACCTCCCTAAAAGCTCAATTTGACGCTAATCTGTATATGTTTTCAGGGATATTAGCATTCCTCAGGATGATGCTGCTGCAGAAGTGAAGCCAAAATCCTCAATTCTTTTCTTCCAGCAATCAGTTTAACTTAATTTTAAATCACTATTCAGAAGTGCTAAGGCTCAAAGCTTATCTTTTATACATGAAATCTGAGATTATCTCTTTATGTTCAAGTCAATGGCTTCAACTTTAAGGGGCTCAGTTATCTAAATAATGTAGAGGAAATAAGTAATGTGGATATTCTGCAGTCCTGGTGTAGGGATTATTTCAGGTTTATCTTTATGCAGTTTAATAAACTTTTGACTTTTACAAATTGATATGCCAGGCACAAAGTGATTTGAACTTGTGCACATTTATCTAACTGATGCAGAAGAAGAGCAGGCCTAACTTCTAAGAATGGAGGAAAGTGAGAAGGTGATTAACTTTTTCACAGCTCTCTGTCACTTGTGATACTCAAATTATAAAGGTGTCTTTTGCAAACTGTGCATTTTCAAAGTAAATGCATTCACCACCTGAAAGATCGCAGAATATCCGTGCTTTGTGAAAGAAAGAGTTACATTCTTGATGTAATTGTTCTATTACATTTTATCTCCCCACATCTTTTCTTTATTCTTGTTAACTAATAATAAGGATATAATGTTTATCAACTTTGTCTTTAGTGATTACTAATTTTAAACCTGAGTTCAGCTGATGGAAGCTGATGGAAAGGGACTGTTTTTATTAGATTAATTTCCAGAGAAAGTTTTGATTGTTGGCTGACATATGTGTCTGTGCATTTTCTTTACAAGATGAAATATTTCTTAAAAAAAACCCTTTCTATTTTAAATTTGACAGGAGAAATAATTGCCTTTGAAACATGCAGTTATTGGCATTCTAGATGAGGAATAAAACCCTGTGAGAATTTGTCAAATAGTAATCACAAACATCTTCTAAAATGACTTCAGAGTCAGGTTTCAAATAAATTATTTGCAGGTGCATTTTGGCATCATTCAAACAGGTCAAATAACAACATTTTTTTTTTACCATTAGGCTAAATCATTTATTAATGTCTCTGGGATCCAGTGGCTAACCTTGGTACCTGTGAGACTTTCTCATTCCTGAGTCCAAGCTGAACATGAGTTGGTAAATCAGGCATGTGGATAATGCTTTAAGTAAACTCAACTTCAACTAAAGATTCTCATCTCAACTAAAGATTCTCATGTTTTAGCCCAACTAAAGTTTCTCATCTTCAGTTGGGCTAAAACACAACTGTGATCACACAGGTTTATTTAAATGTGAGCCAGGGTTGGCTCCCAACTATCATTTCATGTTTTTACTGATTTATAATATTTCTCTGCTCTGTATTGTATTTTCTGATAAGCTTGTGACTATCAGTTTGGAATGTAATAAGTGTCTGAATATCTAAAAGCATATTGCTGGCCTGAGGAGTTCAGTGAGTTCAAGCCAAAGCACCAAAGTGGTCTGGGCATCCCATGTTCTCCTTTGCACTGGCACTTGTCTTTGTTTAGCCAGCTAAGGGAGTTAAATCAGCAGAGTATGGCTTGCTTTAAGATGAAAAAAAAAGAGGGTTGTTTTCTGCTGGCTGAGCTGTCTGACTCTGGGGTGGGATGAGCAGTGTTGGGAGCATGGGGCTGGAAGGATGGCAGCAGCACAAGCTTTCATCAGTTGAAGTTGCCAGGGAACTGTGTCTCGGCTTATGTCACATGCACAACTGAGTAAACACTTCATGTGATCCCTGTTTCCTTCCACAGTTAGTGTCAGCCTTGCCATATCTTCCATCCCATGTCTGATCTCATCACCTCTCCACTCACATTGCTCTGCTGCCTCCTCACCTGTCCCCAGAGGTGCGAGTAGAACTGATTCCCAGCTAGTCCCTCCCTTCCTTTTCCCCACCCCAATTCATGTCACCAGGTTTGGTTTTACTTATTTTGCATTACCTTAGTGAGAGGTAAATGTTAAATGTTTCACCTACTTGTCTGAGTGGACAAAAAACTTCCAGGTAGCAGAGAGAGAGAGAGAAAAGCATATGGAGGAAACAAAGAGCAGCTGGGACTTTCTTACAGCTTTTTACACTTGTTGAAGGGCTTACCCACTGATTTAAAAACTGCTGGTCTGTGTTGTACATGTTATTTATAAAGAACACTTTAGGTAGAGGGGATATTTTTGAATGAAGTGCCTTGCTTTTTCAAGAGCCTGGTATAAGCAGGATGTGGGACTTCTACCAGCCTTGCAGCAAGAGTTTACAAGGTAACTCTTTAAGAATAAGACATGAGCAGAAAGCAGCAGATGAAGACACATGGCAGTTTTTCTTAAAATCATTTCTAGTTTGCCACCACATTCTTTCCAAGCAGAGAAATTTTGGGGAGATTAGTTAGTTTTGGTAAAGATTTAGGGCAGACGTAACAGGATTTTATAGATCATGTCCATCCTGCACGGTGTGGGAATTATGGGTGCATGGCATTTATTTGCTTGATAGCTTTACCGCTTAGTAAACCAACCCATCTGAAGGGAGTACAAATAAAGCGCTTTTTGGTGTAGCACTGTTAGCTTATCAACACCGGATATTGGCTCCTGCAGTTTTAGATTCAGACCATGTTAAGTAGCTGTGGCTACATGCAGTGGCAGAGGGTGAATGGCCCTGCAGGAGGGATTAGGGATTGGTTGGGTGTTGATTACATTCAGCATCTAACAGGCTGTGATAAACCCTGTTCCTTGTGTTTTCAGAGGCTGCACAGTGGAGTTCTCAGGGATCTTGAGCGTCAAAATCAGAAAAAGGAGAACATTCGCATGCTAGAAGAGCAAATTGCTTTGACAAAACAGCTTATGGAAGAAAGAGACAAAGAGCTAATGGAAAAAGGGTCCCAGCAGTCCTAGTCACGGTCCTGAGTCCTTAGAGGCTTGATTAAAGACATTTGGAGATCATTAGTATCTAACTGCTTGCAAGTGTTTCAGCAAACAGAGGTAATCTGTGAAAGACTGTTTCTTTTGTATAAATTATAATCCAGTCCCAAAAAATATAGGGTGGATACAAAACATTTCCTCTGTCATTGTACTTTGACTGTGGCGACTTGGCTGGCATACCCAGTGTGGGTGGACTTGTCAGTGTGGGGAGGAGTCGCTCTTTGTGCAAACACCATCTAGGATGGCTAATAACGTTCACATGAGTGGGCTGCTGAGCCGGCACGATGACGAAGCCACCAGGACCTCCACTTCTGAGGGCCTGGAGGAGGGTGAGGTGGAAGGGGAGACTCTCCTGATTGTCGAGTCTGAGGACCAGGCTTCGGTGGATTTATCACACGACCAGAGCGGGGACTCTCTGAACAGTGATGAAGGTGACGCGTCCTGGATGGAGGAGATGTCATATTACTGCGAGAAGTGCCAGAAGTGGATTCCAGCAAGTAAGCCTGTCGATTGTGTTGTGTCTCACTTGCATTGCTGTGGTGGTTGTTCGCAGGGTATTTATACTGTCCTGCATGCATATCTGCTTTAAGGGCAGGCCTTGCTTAGCTGTATCCCTTCCCATGCTGTAGGAGAAGGGCTCTTTTGGCGTGACATGGAGCCCCGCAGCCCGATGCCAGCTGTCTGTGTTAGGCCCTTCGATCCATGAACTGTACGGGTGTCCAAAGCTTGGGACTGTCTTCTTTAATTAGTAGAGAACAAGGGTGTGACTCCAGAAACACGCGCACCCTCCTGAGTCTTGCCGTTGTTATGTTTAGGGGGGCTCTGGCTAAGCAACTTAGCCTCTCTGCTGACTCAGGTAAAGATAATGACCCTTACTGTAAAGCTCTGTGAAGAAAAAGGGCTTTGGGATGGTGCTACTTTTTGGTGGGGTTTTTGTTGTTGTTCTGGTCAGTTCGTCACATCCGTGGAGCATATGGCTAAATCTCAACCTTAGTGGTTTCCCGATAATGTGAACTGAAGTTAGCTTTCACAGAAGCGTGTCCAGCCTGTAGCAGCTAGCTTTGGGAGGCATTTGGAGCAACCTGCAGAACTTGATCCCTCTGCTACTGCTGCTTGTCATAAGATATATGCTGTTAGCAACATAACAGACTGGACTTCCTAAATTCTGCATTATCAGATCTATTATTAGATCCAAAAGCTAGATGCTGCTAAGCATGTGTTTTCTGTTTTTTGTTGTTGTTGTTGTGTTTTTGTTTTGGTTTTGGGTTTTGTGGTTTTTTTAAGTTGGTGGTTTGGTTTATTTATGGCTAGAAATAGTGAACACTGCAGGTGGCACCTGCCTTGCAGGTACATTTTAGAATTTGCCGAACGTTAAAGTGTAGAAGTTACACTCTCAAGGTGTGTTAGTGTTTTGATGCTAATTTAATGGAACCAGCATCGTGCTATTAAGGTAGTATGCAGTCAAAGGGACATATTAACTTGAAGCGTATTAATAAAAAAATGGAGCAGAGTTAAAAGTAGCATGAGATATCTTAGAGCACTTGATTTAACACTCAATTTCTTTTATTTTACAAAGTTGTTCCTCTCTCTCGGTGCTGCGGAAGAAATCCAAAGAGCAGAAAAAGCCAGTCGGAGAGCAACAGTAACTAGATACAAATGGGCAAAGTAAACAAGCTAGAAAGGAGAAGTACTGTTCTCTTTGCTAATTTTTCAGTTATACTGATACCAATTGCCATTTGTGAAATCACCAACATCCACAGGCAAATGGTCATATTTACATTTAATTGCCATGTAGAAATTCTGTAAATCTACTAAGTGTGGGGGTTTTTTCCCATCAGACATAGGTGCAACTTTAATAGTTAGATTCTGTAATACGCTATGGAAGCAGAGTATCCTTGTATTACAAATGCTTGATCTAGTGCCGTTACAATAAAAGAAATGTCATACTTCTAGAGAAAATTCACACATGAAAGGTCTTTCAGAAATGCTGTAGTCTTAACTGTTTCCTCGTCCTGTGATTTTATTTTTTAATTTTTCATATCTGCGTAAATTAACCCCTGTTAAGTTTAGAAATCCTGATTCATGTGATTATTTTCTTTTCTCTGCTGTAGAAAGGTAGAATTAGAGCCTGTAACTTCGGATGTGTGGGGTTTCACAGATGGCTCTATCCCAGCAGATTGCTTTTGTTCAGGCAAACTTTTACACAGGGTTATCTTTGCACAGCAAAGCATATGCTGAAATGCTTTGCTGATTTAGGATCTAATGCATCAGCTGCAGTAGTGTTTTCTGATAATGTTAGGCCATTCTTTTGGCTCTCAGTCTCAAGGAATGAAGATCTTTTCCTGATAGGATAAATAAATACCTTAAAGTTTCACACCGTGTCTGCAGCAGTGCATCCTGCAGGCTGCTGTAGACGGGGACTGGCAATCTTACTTTAATAACAGTTTGTGGACAGGGAAAGAGAGAGCTGTAAAGACATGTAGCAGTGAGTGGAAAAATAACCTGGAAGAGAATGCTTGTATATTCTGATTTTTTTTTTTTTTTTTTTTTTTATAGAAGACTGGGAAAACAGTTATTGATTGAAGGATATAGATTATACTGGGGCAGGAAGAAGGAATGAGAAACGCAACGGAGACAGCTAAATCCATGGCTTTGTACCTTCATTCACATGTTAGGTAGCATGCCCTTTTTTTGTGCCTGTGCAATTCAGTTGTTCACTGCTGCAACTGTGAAATGAATCTGCGCCCTCCATTGCAGCAAGTTCCGACGCTTCCTGGGAACCATCTGGGTCTCTGGATTTCGGGAAAAAGGCAAAAAGTACTCTTCTGCCTGGTGGTGTAGGAAATCCAAATCTCCTTTGCAGCACTTTCTCCTATAAAAGGACCAGGAAATTGATTTTTACCTATTCATTTTAGGTCAACTGAGGGAACAGCTCAGCTACCTCAAAGGAGATAATTTTTTCAGATTTACTTGCTCTGATTGCTCAGAAGATGGGAAGGAGCAATTTGAACGGCTGAGATTAACATGGCAACAAGTAAGTAAAATGTTTGTGCCAGCAGAACAACCACAGGACTTGCTAAAATTGTTTGTTGAGTATGTGCTACCTAAGAAAGGAGGATCGGGTATAGGTAACAAAGGAACATATGCATGAACTTAAGAAATTAATTAGCTAAGGATTGCCTGCATTTTAGAATTTGGGCATGAAAGATAGATAATCATGCAATCCACGTTCCTTTTTTAATTTTTTTTTTCCCACCCCTTATGTTGTTCATGAACTCATGGCTTCAGGCAGGTTTGGAAAAGCAAAATGAATGCAATTTGGCTGCTAGGCATGAACAGGTTTTTGTGTATATGAGCAAATGTAAAACTAGTGAGGCATCAACATGCAAACAGAAAGCTTGCTAGCTCCCTGAATGCAAAGCTCCAACCTGGCTGCTTACTGACTAGCCACAGTCCTTGCTGGAATTTGCTGTTTCAGTCACTTGCACACCTGAGCAATCAAAATAATTTGCATTATACAGCAACCGCATATGGGTAGACTGATGCACATCATCTTACTCTAAGCAGGGCACTGGAGGGGCAGGCAGACAGTGCTGGCTGCCTCTGCTTAAAACGAATTTAATCAGGCAGTAGCTCTTGCTCAGCTTTAAGTGTTTCCACATGCTGAACATCAGGCATTATGTGTGAAACATCTAGTTGCATTCTTTGGGACAGTAGTGGTGTGCTGTCTCATAATAGATCATTTAAAACATCGGTCCTAAACCCCTACAGTGCTTTTGCATGGTCCCCCGTGCAGGGCTGTGCAGGGGAAAAGGTTGGTGAAGCAGTCTGTGGCTAGCAGACCGGCAGTTTCAGCAGGTTACAGATCTAGTGAGCAAAGGCTGCTAGCATTACACCCAGGCCTCTTCAGAGTGCCACGGGGAAGGGACAGACAAAATCAAAACAGGTGAGGAAAAAAGTTGACTAGTGAAGAGACCATCTGCCTAGACTTCCAGCAGACAGAGCTGCTGCTGCTTCTGGGTGAGTTGAGGGAAGTGAACAAATCAACTTACCTGAAGTAGGAAAAATGAGGACAGTGATTTCTGGATTTTTTTCAGAGTATGTGGCAACAGATCCTTATCTTTAGCCAGTTGGAAATAGAATCGTTTTTAATTCCTGAGACACTGTCACGCCTGACTTAAAAACCACAAAATTCTAGATAAATAGTTATCAAAGTAAGAGGGGTTGTGAGCATCTTCAGCAGTGCATTCCAGAAAGCTATGGTCCACTGCAAGGAGACCCATCTCCCTAAGAAAAACACATTTCAAACTTCTCAGACAGTGAAGAGTAAGTCCCTGTTGGAAGTAGTATCCAACCGAGGCTGTGTGACTGTTGAAAGATGGTCCCAGCCCAGCTGACATTAATTGTATTCAAATGAATTGGGTAAATGTAATTAACAGTTGGTCACCAAGGATTTACTTACAAAAAGGTGTGATATTTTTCAAACCTACCCTTTACTTTAGGTATGTAATAGGTGAGACTGAATTTAGTTGTGAGGCATCTGAATGAGCTGTAAATGGATTGTGTTTAATGAAGAACACCTGGAGACAAACTTAATTCTTGCATACCCAGAACAATTAGTAGATATGTGATTTTACAGAGTTTACGGTCTGTTCAGTTTGAGATGTAACAGTATCTAGAAAAAACGTTGTCACGGTGTTTATGATGGATTAGATAGTAGGATTACTTCTGACCTTTTTTTTCTGAAAGACTTTTTCCCTACCTCCACACTACATTCAGACCCCAGTTGTGATATAATTAATTTATATAGCTGCTGCAAAAGCTTGTGTCTCAGCATAAACCTACATAACTAGGCAGCTTGTTATTCCCCTGGTATTGAGAAATCTCAGGGAGAATTTGCATCTAAGAATAGAAAGATGAGAATGGGGACAGCATGAAACTAGGAGGAAGATGGATTGCAGAAGTTCCCTATAAGATGTTGCAAAAACAATGTATG